AGACTTCATTTATTCTCTTACTGAACTATGACTGAACAAGGAAACGCCTAGTTTTTCACATTAACCAGTTGGTGCTCAAGGAAGGAATGGTGATCTCTGATGAAAACAATTCTAATGTTTTTTCTGTACAGCACTGATATACACAAAAGAAAAGTACACATTCTTTTATAGACTTAGACTTAGACAAACTTTATTGATCCACAAGAGAAATTAATCGGCCACAGTAGCTCACACATCACATTATAATAACAAAGAGAAAAAATATCAATGGTAATTTATATAATAATAATATTCTAAATAAGTCGCAAAAATAATACATTTTAAATAAGTGGCAAAAATGATATGGTGATTGACTGAACATGGATTTAGCTGTTACATGAGGGTGAGTTGTTGCTCAGTTGTATGGACTATGGTGGAATGTAGTCCTGTATTTCTCACTGTTTGAGTGGAGCCAGAACAAGTCTCTCAAACACTTTCCTGACATGAGTCAAAGCAACTGGTCTGAAGCAATGCATGAGGTCTTCCATAGCACCAGTATCCTTTTCAGACTCAGGGTGAAGAAAACGTGCAGGATCCCAGTGAGCTGTACTGCACATGTCCTCAGCATGCGGGGGTTGACTTGGTCTGGTCCAGGAGACTTGCTTTACCTTCTCACCCGTGCAGGTGACAAAGACACTGGACTGGGTTCCTCCATGGGGGTGGCGGTAGGTGTGGGAGCAGAGGAAATGAGCTGATGAATGGCAGTCTGGCGGTCTGTGGTGAGGTGTAAACATGGGGTTGTCAGCAGTGTCAGGGGATCAAAAGTAATTCAAATGCAAATTGAGTAGGTTTTAGGGTTATAGGGAGTTTCATATAGGCCATGGATAAGATAGACATTTTACACATGAAAAGGATAGTACGTGACTATGATGATATTTTTACTACTCTTCATTAATGCATTAGTATGATTATTTAGTTTACACCAGCATTTCTACAGCAGAAGGGTGGCAGAACCTTGTTTAAACAGGTCTGACTCAGCATGTCAGTGAGCCCACTCACAACAGAGGGCACACTCTGGACCTGCTCATTACAAAGGGTGTAAATATTTCAAATGTCAATGTGGTTGATGTTGCTCTGTCTGATCATTTCTGTGTCTTCTTTGACCTGTCTGTTATTCCCAAACCACCGGCTGCTCCTACAGTTGTTCGAAGGAGACACATAAATGATAACACAGGTGCACTGTTCATGGAAATGATCAATTTTGAAATTGCCTCATGTTCTAATGTTGATGATGTGTTGAACTCTGTGACTTTGAGTGTTTTGAATGTTCTGGATGCCATTGCCCCGATAAAGGTTAAAATGGTTAAAGATAGGCAAAAAGCTCCGTGGAGGAATGATGACTCAGTCAGGGCACAGAAAAGGGAGTGCTGGAAGGCTGAGCGGAAATGGCGCAAGTCAAACCTCCAGGTTCATTATGAGATTTACAGAGGAACAATGCATATGTACAACTACACTTTGAGTAAAACAAGAGAGAAGTATTTTTCGGACATTATTGGTAATTGCAGTAACAACTCTCGTGTCCTGTTTGCAACAGTGAACAGATTAACAAACCCTCCAGCTCCACTGCCACTAGAACTAATTTCCACATCTAAATGTAATGAGTTTGCAGTTTTCTTTAATGACAAAGTTCAGGGCATCAAAAATGCCATCAATTCCACAACACAAATAACAAGCATGCAGCCGCAGAGACACTTAGAGCTGAATCACTTTGCACCTGTAACTGACAAAACTGTTTTAGAGATCGTTACCAGTCTTTACTTCACCACTCACTCACATAGTTAACATGTCACTTCAATCTGGAACATTCCCAAATGCGTTGAAAACTGCGGTCATTAAGCCTCTCCTAAAGAAGAGCAGTCTTGATGCCACAGTACTGAACAATTTCCGACCCATCTCAAATCTGCCGTTTTTTGGCAAAGTCCTTGAAAAAGCTGTTTACCAACAGCTTACGAACTTTCTCCAAATGAACAACTCCTTTGATGTTTTCCAGTCAGGTTTTAGAGCCCACCACAGCACTGAGACTGCTCTTATCAAGGTGACAAATGACATCCGCCTGAACACTGATGCAGGCAAAGTCTCAGTCTTGATCCTGTTAGATCTGAGTGCTGCTTTTGACACTGTCGATCATGGGATCCTCTTACAGAGACTAGAGGACTGGGTGGGCATCTCTGGTACTGTATTAAACTGGTTCAAGTCCTATCTAGAAGACAGGAAGTATTTTGTTGAAATTGGAAACTGTGTCTCAGATCACATGGCCCTGACCTGTGGGGGCCTCAGGGGTCAATCCTGGGCCCCCTGTTGTTCAATCTCTACATGCTGCCATTAGGCCAGTTAATAAGCAGCAATAACGTGTCCTACCACAATTATGCAGATGACACTCAGATCTACGTCTCTCTGGCAGCAGGAGACTATGGACCAGTGGACTCACTTTGTCACTGCATCCAACAGATCAGTGTGTGGATGCAAAAACAACTTTCTCCAGCTAAACTCTGACAAGACTGAAGTCATAGTGTTTGGTCCACAGAAACAAAGGGACAGTGTCAGCAGTCACCTCCAGTCTCTCTCTCTAAAACCTTCAAATCAGGCAAGAAATCTAGGGGTAATAATGGACTCAGACTTGAACTTTAACAGCCACATCAAATCAATAACATCTGCAGCCTTTTACCATCTAAAAAACATAGCGAAAATCAAAGGTTTACTGTCTAAATCAGACTTGGAGAAACTTATCCATGCGTTTGTCTCCAGTAGATTAGACTACTGTAATGGTCTGCTCACTGGTCTCTCCAAACGAGCTGTGAGACGCTGCAGAACATCCAGAACGCTGCAGCTCGGGTCCTTACTCGAACTAGGAAGTACGAGCACATAAGTCCTGTGCTCAGGTCTCTGCACTGGCTTCCTGTGCCTCAGAGAATAGACTTTAAAGCAGCTCTGCTTGTGTACAAGTCTCTCCATGGCCGAGCACCAAAGTACATCTGTGACATGTTAGTGTCATATGAACCATCTCGCACTCTGAGGACCTCAGGGACCGGCCTCCTGCTGGTGCCCAGAGTCAGAACTAAACAAGGGGAGTCAGCGTTTCAGGTTCATGCAGCTAAAACCTGGAACAGTCTTCCTGAACATGTGAGACAGGCCTCTTCTGTGACACTGTTTAAATCCAGGCTCAAAACATTTCTGTTTAACTGTGCATATAACTGAAATGTTTTCATTCCGCACTCTTCTCTCCAATCTATGTCTCTCTTTTTTAAATTTTAATCTTCATGATATTTATGTTTTGATTTGTTTTTATTATGATGTTAATGTATTTCTTATTCTGTAAAGCACTTTGAATTACTTTGTGTACGAATTGTGCTATACAAATAAACTTGCCTTGCCTTGCCTAAACAATAGGAGGCATAGTTCGCATAACGTTTTACATTCCTATTGAAGAATCTGTTTTATTTTGTTTGAGTTGGATGAGTTTGAAAGCAATCATTGTCCGGATCACTGGCACTAACAGAGATGTTAGTCTGATGTTTAGGCGGAGGAGTTCCCTGCTCTCCTGGGCGCTCAGTTGGATATCTCTACCAGTTCTCTCCCCTATTACATTTGAGCTGTCCTCTCCATTAAAGCCTTGCACATAAAGAAAAAGACTGGTGATGACGTTAGAACATGATGCTAGATAGTTTGACACCTGTGTCATACTGTGAATGTGGAGGAGCCACATTACATATGTTATTAGTATATAATGAGACCTATAGTCACTGGGAGGAGCTGCATATTGTCATGACAATGTAATGGAAGTAGAATGAGCAGTAGCCGCAATAATGAAAACTCCCTGTCACAGTTCTTTAGGTGACAGAACCCATAGCAAAAAGACTGGATTTGTGACTGATAGTGTGATCCACAGTCTTTATTTATTTATTTATTTATTTGAGGCAGGGAGACAGGGACAGCGCACAATTTTTACATTAACCTTTTTTACAGGAGAGATGCATTGTACATCAGTCTTTTCAAATATTACTACTAGAGCTATTATATTGCCTATACTGTCATAATTACTACAACTATAACTATTATGATTTTGGTACCATATAAATTCTCACACCAATAGATGAGTCTGTGTGAGAAAGCTGCCAGGTAATAGTGACACGATAAAACGATCAGTGTGTATTTTGCTTTCCACATTAGTTTCAAATAACAGGTTTAGTTGTTACTTGGACTGTGTCAGACTAATCACTGGTTGTCATTTGCTCCTTTGAAATGTATGCGTTTCTTAAGAAGTGGAGGGAAAGGAGTTCCACAGAGGATTACATGTCTCAATGACACTAAACAGTCACAGCATGCTGCCTGAAACCAGTGCCCTACCTTAGTGCCCTACCTCTTGACTGTACAACAGACACCTGCTCTCAAATGCAAAGTATTTTTACTCACTTGGCATTTGTCCAGTGTTAGGAAGGAACACCTAGGCATCTTGCTGTTATTATTATTATTATTGGTATTATTAGTATTATTCTGCTTCTTCTGTTTGGTTATTGTATGTTTTATTCTACTGTAAATGTTGTTCAGAGCTTTGGTAAGCTTTGGCTTGGTTTTAAATATGCTATACAAATAAATTAGACTGATGAATTAGATTTGATTTGATACTTTGGCTTGCATAATTACATTCTTTTGTATCAATACTTACACTAACTTAACTAATTCTTCCAACATTGAAATAGTGTAAGCTTTTATTTATTTTCCTACATTTATATCATATTTTATGTGATGGTATGGTTCAGTAAACAGCTCAGTAGTCTACATGTGTTTTGTAAAGTGAGTATTCTCCCTCAGGTCATGTATCCATAGTTGACTGAATTATGCAAAGATAATTTAGGTGATTACTTGGCTTTTCACCTTCCTTAAAGTGACCTTGTGGTATAAACGTTAATGTTAGAGTGGAATCTTTAACCCATGAACAATGTAAACATGACAAACACATGACATATCAGCAGACATTTTATGTATGAGCGAGTCAAACCAGTTTAACAGTTTAACAGTGTGGTCGTCAAACACACAAACATACAATAGTTCAGAGTTTGACTAAACCACATTAGAAAGTGACTCATTGACATGATGTTTGTATAATGACAGGTGAACACAATACTGTGTGAACATAGATATGATAATCTGATTAGATAGAAAAAAATAACAAGCTATTGTAAGAAATACTATACTCAGTATGCTTCATTGAAGCTACAGCCCAAGAGGGTTAAATACATCAACATAACAGTGTTTAAATGTCTTTTTGTTAAAAATCTGGCTAAGAAGAGTGATCCATATTGAGTAAAAACAGGGACAGATCGCATCTGGTCTATCGTGCATATACTGCAGAGGGCTGCCCCTGCAGGCGGGCCTGGGAGGACAGAGCAGCCTTCCGGGTCATGGTGGTGCAGCGGCTCAGGATCACCTCTGTCTTGGGGCGCACTGGGACTTGAGGGGCCTGGGACGAGCTGCTCTCAGCACCGCTCCTGGAGCTGCTCTCAGAGTTGAGTGTGGAGCTACTATCAGAGCTGACTGTGGAACTCAGGGAGCTGAAGGTGCCAGTGCTGATGTTGGAGTTTCGGCGAGGGGCTGGCTCAGGTGCGGGGCCTCGGCTCAGCTCCAAACTGAACTCTTGGCTGGTGTTACTGCTGCTGCGCGTGCGTTGGTCAGATTGGTCCTGGGGCCTCTGGGTCCAGCTCTCAGACAGGATGTCCAAGGAGCGGGCCTTATGAAGTTGCCCACTGGGCTCATAGTCTTCCTCTTCCTCACTGATGCTGGGGAACTGGGGGGTCTGGGGCCCCATGGAAGCCAGGTTCAGAGTGGAGCTGTGGAGCTTCGTCTGGAGGCTGAAGAGACCAGCACGAGGGTTGTTATATGGCTGCAGGTACATGGACGGGATGTAGCCGGCTTTACCATTAAATCTGAAAAAAACAAACAAAAACAAAACATTAATATCTACTGTTTGATTTCTCCAATGTAATTACAAGAGTATAACAATGTCATCAAACAATCAAGTCTTTTCAGTCACACACCTGATGAGCCACCAGCCATTGTCAGACTTCCGCAGCACCTCCACCACATTGCCGATGTTCACAGACACCTCATCGGCCTTTTGAGTGGAGTATTTCCTCACAGCGATGTACAGAGATCCTACAAAGCACAACAAGAAGAACCATTTAACATTTAAGAAACATGCCCAATAGCGCTCTCTGGTGCTTTAGTTTGAAACTACAAATCATTAACAGTATACAACAGAGAATTACATCCTACCTCCAGCAGGGCATGCAGCATCCTCTCCCTCCGCTTCATCCAGTAACTCCAGATAGGGAGCAGGAAACCAGGCTACACGTTTCTCCTCGTTCTCCACCAGCCACCAGCCTGTGCCACAGTAAACACACACAGCTCAGAAAAAGCATAGAAAAGCGCAAGTGCGTGCATGTGTAAAGGGACATTTGGGTTGAAAATTACTAGCTTGTCACTGAACGCCTCAGGATTCTTACCAGCAGGGTCTTTAATGAGAACATCCAGCTTCTCATCTGCAGCCACTTTGAAGGGTCGGTTCTTGGTGTCTTTGGTCTCGTAGGGGGCCACACAGACATACGTTTGGGTGACAAAAGGGTGACTGACATTGGCAATAGACTGGTGCCCCTTAGATCCTCCACCATTTGCATCAGGCAAGTCATCGGACATCATCACAAGAACGCTGAGAAAGAAAAGAAAAAAATACAAGACTATTACTTTAAGGTACATTTGTAAATATGATGTGATGTGAATGAAAAACATTCCTGAACTTAAAAGCCTTACCTGTTTTTGGTGAAGTCTGGCTGCAGATCATGGTCTTTCGGCGTGAAGAATTGAGTGACTTCTGAACTCCTGGTCACACTCTCATCACATTTGAGGAGCTGAGCACAGTAGTTCTCCAGACACCTCATGCGTCTAATGGAGCGCTTGGAGCCCTTCTGCTGCAGATTGGCCTTCCTTGCCTCACCTGTGAACATTTCAAGACAAATAATAGATAAATAAATTTTAATTAAAATGACTCAAGATATACATTTGAGAGAAATATTAGATTCTGACCATTGAATTTAGGGATGAGTCTGTCCTTTCTACGCAGAGGATTGAAGTGAGGGAATCTCTTTTTCAGTTGTCTCTGTTGGGGAAAAAATTAAATAAAATGTTAGAAAAAGCTTAATGATATTCTGATTGTTAAATTGTTCCTAAATTAACCAAATTGTTAAATTCTAAATGAAATCTAATCGAATTATGTCTCAGTTTTTAAAAACGTATTCAGTACAATGGATAATTTTCAGTTTATTAGTATTTTCATAGAGAAATCTGGACTCACGTGAAATTTTTTAAAATCTTGAAAGGACCTGTAGACAATCACTTCACTCTCGTCTGACCACATCACAGACAGCATAAACATCTGCAGAAAAAAAATAAGAACAATTTAACATTTTCAAACAAATTACTTAACCAAAATAGACATTCACAGCTATATTACTAAAGTCTATATTACCTTGAGTTTGGGAGAGTCTCTGTGGACAGCTCCAATTATGCGTGCGTTGAACACCATGCGCTGCGCCATCGTGTCCCTCGTTGTGGCTTTTGACTGCTAAAGTGCTGCCCAGACGTTTGTCCTATCAGGCTCGCTGTGCCAGCTGTGGTCAGAGTGTACACAGCAGTCATATTTATACCGCTAGAAGGCGGAGTCGTTTAAGCATCTGAGGAGGAAGGCGGGAGGAGCAGAGACAAATCAGCCAAGTGAGCGTGTTGTGGTTTTAGCATCGTTGCGTAAGTGCAGAGATGGAGGAATGTGGTGCTCAACATCGGAGCAGCAACCTAGATTTTTGAGTTCATACATGCGAACTATTGATTTGTCTAACATTATGCGGACACGCTTACATAAGTATCAACAAAAATACTTTTAATCTGTTCTATTTTACCACAGCGCTGTTCATATACTGTAGATAGCGCTCACTAGAAATCAGATGCGTCTCCTTTGGCTACATTGTCTATATAATTCTGATCAGAGATGGGTAGTACTCAGTTACATTTACTTAAGTTAACTCTGTAAAGACAAATTGTACATTTTAGTGTAGTTTTCAGAACAATTTTACTTGAGTAATATTTTAATTGAAGTACCGCTGAAATGAGTAACAGATTTGGTTTCTCTTCCCACCGAGAGTAGCCTAAGTCTAAGTGTAAAGTTAAGCTTTATGGTGTAAGTTGTAATGGTTTGGACATCTGTTTCTTGCCCTGCTCTTTCAGACATTCTAATTTTTGTGTCTATCCTTGGTCCTTGTTTTGTCCTTCAAATTACATTGACTTCAAATTATAAATCAGATGTTATGTCCACAGTTAAGTTACTCGTAATTTAGTAGTAGTTTCTCCGTCTTTACTATTACTTTCTTGCATCACTATTTTTTGTACTTTTGTTCTTTGCATGTGATTCAGGTTCATCCAGGTCCGGTGTACTAGGCTATTCTAAAATCATCATACCTGAGAGGACAGGGTGTCACCTCTGGCTCTGAAATGGAAAGGCGCTCCCAATTTGTCCTGTTATGTAAAGGGACTTTTTTGAATAACAGCCCTAAATAAAGCCATGGGATAAGGTGAGCTAGGCATCTTTGTGCACAGTGATTTATAGTATATTTATGTCAAATGTCCTTCCACTTTCAATCATCTCTATATAATAGGAGTCAGGAGTCTTTCAGGCCTATTATGTTATAATGCTATTAACTCTTCAAAATTACAGGAGTTGTGTTACGTTTCATTCACACATGTTTGAGTAACCCTTTATTATTAGTTTATATTTCCAAAACTTAAAATTGTTGTTTAAAATCATCGTACACTGGAGGACAGACGTATCATGCATATATGAAAAGGCTCTCCCAGTTTGTCGTATTATATCAGCAGAGGGATATTTTTGAATGACATCTTTGAGGTTTCAGTTGGGGCCCTGAATAAAGCCCTGAGATAAGGTGAGCTACTGAGATGTTCCCTTAATATACTAGCTGAAAGCTCTGCAACTAATCAGCAGAAACATCTTGCTATGCTCCATTGATATAAACTTGCTCCATTGCCAGTAACCTTGTTTTGTCAGATATAGGATTAACACTGTCTGGTGCATTGAGGGAAAAAGTCGTCTAGTTTTTATTGTTATTAAAGTGCATTAAATGAGAAAATTATGTATTTAAAGTTAAGTATTACTTTAATAACAATAAAATTCAATGGTAAGTTTATAATTCAATTTCATAATTTCAGTTTTGAAGACACCAGCATTCAACAAACCTTCAATTTAGATGAAAAGAAAGTGCTTGAAACGGCTAGCATCTTGGCACAGTGATTTACAAATAGACCAGTATCTGATCTAATGTCAGATGCCCTTCCACTTTCTCTTTATATACCTTCTCATTATATCATTGGAGCTCACCGTTACCTTTCAGGTCTTCTGCAAGTTTATTGGTGATGCGAGGAAATTAATTATGCTAAAGGTCCTATATTACACACAATGAACTCTTGTGAGTTTTAAACCATGTTATAATATTTTTACCTCCTAAAAAACCTCCTACAATTGTGCTTTGTTTTATTTACATGTTTGAGTAATTCTTTATTATTAGTCTGCCTACATCTCCCAAGCTCAAAATGGTCTGTTCCACTTTGTGATGTCATTAAGCCATAGTTTTCAACTTTACAGCTACCTTTCACCTTTTATCCAGTAGAAACTTGAAATTCCGAAGGTGTTATCATCCAAATCATTCTTGTGAAGGTGTATGGAGTTTAAAAACACAATGGAGAACTTCCGGTATTACCACATGACATCACAAAGTGGAACAGAGTTTCTGTTTGAGAGAAGAACTCAATATGCAGGTTTGTGTGTTAAACATGTGAATGAAACAAAACACAATTCTAGGTCTGTTTGTGATGAGGAAACAACATTGTAACATACATCAGAAATAATGTAATATGGGCCCTTTAACTTACTCTTACTTGATAGTAGTTTAACCAAATTTTTTACTTTCATGTTTTTTCTTCAATCACTACTTTGTACTTTACATGTGATACTGATCTGTTCATTCATCCAGGTTCTGGTGTAGTAGGTTATCCTGGTTTAAATCATCGTCCACTGGAGGACAGACGTCTCACCTTTGACATGAAAAGACACTCCCAGTTTGTCCTGTTATAAAACCAGAGCGACATTTTTGAATGTGGTTTCAGTTGAGGCCCTAAATAAAGCTATGGAAAAGGTGAGCTACTGGGACAGCCCTGTCATATACTAGCGGAAACCTCTGCACCTAATAATATTTTGATAAGCTACACGAACAGAAACGCGATTGGCAGTAATCTTGTTTTGTTTTGTCAGAAGTAGGATTAACTCAACAATAAAAGCAAATTATCCATGGGTTAGTATACGTGACTAAGTACACTTTACTATGTTTATTTTATAATTAAATTTATCCCGTGGATTTAGATTGGATTCTGTATTCATCAAGGCAGTTGAGGCAACCTGTCAGGAGTGGTGTTTTTTTTTTTCATTTTCAATTTCAAACTTGATTTCAATTTTTAGGAATAGACTTGATTCTCAGTACCAATTCTAATACCACAATGATAATAAAAATAGAATAGTACTTTAATTGTGGTGTTATGTCCAATCCACCAGTGCCCTAGCAGCAACTTCCCAAAGAAAAAAAGGACCGTCTAGTGATCAGATTTGAATGTGCAATCTTTTATTTGATGCAATTTAATACAAATAAAATTCAGCAAAAGTTTACAATTCCATATTTTAAATTTAGATCAGCATTCAACAAAAAAATTATTCAAATGAAAAGAAATTGCTTGAAAATGCTGGCATCTTTGTGAGCAGTGATTTATAAACAGACCATTATTTGGCTTTATATCAGATGCCCTTCCACCTGCAACCCTCTCTTCACAGTGAGTTTGCTGCTGAATAGACTGTTAGAATTGAAATGCTTACTTTTGTTTCTTAATTCCCCAAATATTTCACACATTTTTTTCTTATGTTGTGATTTCTTATGTTGTGATTAGAAACTGGCCCCTCCCTGTCACGAGCAGTTGCACGGACCATGCTGCATTTCCACAGGTTTTGCACGTGTGGTCACTTGGCACTTGTCATCTGGCTGCAATAATATCCCTTATCAAGAGCCAGTGTGGAGAGCTATGGAGCCCCACAGACTGACTACACAGGTAAGGGGGCGTGGACTTTTGGAGTAGGGGGGAGCAGGTGTAACTTCAAAGTATCACGTGAGAGCCAGACAGAGGGGGCTATCCCGAACCGAGGAAACGTCTGATGCCCTGCCAGGACATTATCACACCCCCGCGCTCACATGGCAAAGAGCATTATGGTGGAAAAGGTCAGGATTGTCCCGTTGGAGAGTGACCTCAGAAAATGTCAACACTTGGTGGTAAAAATGTAAAAACCCTCCCAAGTGGATAGAACGAACATGACTCAGAGTTTTTAGGGCTGTCAGAGCTGTACACTTCTCACATGGGGGGACACGTGCCAGGGAGAATGCAAAATATTATACAAAAAACAAGTGCAGGGTTAGGTTTGGAATCTTGTCTTGCGAGAGTTATTACTGAAGAAGTCAAGACGGAGGGAAGGGTGTTTTAACATGAAAAGACATGCAAAATCAGCCTAGTTTTGTTTAATAATTTCTTGTTTATTCGATCATTAACTATTTAAATGTGAGAAACTTTATCGATTTACTTCACTATGTTGAATTTGCCTACTGCCTGTATCAACCCATCAAACCAGAACAAGCACAATAAATGAGTTAGTTCTGACCATGACTCGCTCAAGATCTGGAGATGGGTTGTTGTAGAGGTGAAGTTAGCAAAATTGACTTTTTCATAACATTTGCCATCTGAATGAAAATTTTTCTTCTTGGTTGAAGTTCCAATATTACACAACATTGACTCTCTAAATCTAAGTCATGTTAGAATGTTGTTACCTCGTCAAAAATGTGCCTGGGGTTGTGTTTTGTCACACATGTTTCCTCTCTGTGTACATCTCCAAAGCGCAAAATGCTCTATTCCACCTTGTGATGTCACCTTTAGTTAAGTAGAGATGGGAAATTACAGGGGTGAAATTATCGAAATTATTCTGGTGAAAGTGTCTGAAGGTTTAAAAACACAGTGGAGCACTTCCTATGTTACCACATGACATCACAAGATGCAACAGTGTTTTCTATTTGAGAGAGGAACTCAGCCTAAATCTGCAGGATTTGTGTGTTAAACATGTGTGAATGAAACAAAACACAGGTTAATATGGGCCCTTTAAATACACCAAATCTATTATATAGTGACCTGTTTATTACTTGAGTTGTATTTTGTATTCAGTACTTGTTACTTTAACTACACAGCTCCTTAAGTAGAAACACCTGCTCCTGCCTTCTCCTTACACTAGAAATCATGCTTGTTTACAACTGGTGTGCGTTCAGAAGTACTGAACGAATTACTGTTGAAGTTTCCTGTCCAGAAGTCATTTAGCGACCAGTGCGTCAGTCTTTAGACCCTTCATCTGCGTCAGTGTACACCATCACTGGAAGGAATCTCCAAGAATCACCTTAGTTTGTCTTCGCTCCTTTTCCCCTTCTCTTCTTTCAGCGACCTCAAAAATTGACTTTCT